AAAAGAGTAATGTTAAAACAGTTGTGTGTGGGGCCGGGGATTTTACCTCAGTGGTTCGGTGGCTTGCCTCAAAATCCCAGGGCCCGAGTTCGATCCCCGGTTCCCCCCCCCAAAAAAACAACAGTTTTGTGTGTGTGTGTGTGTGTGTGTGTGTGTGTGTGTGTGTGTGTGTATGGGACCATAGAACCCTGGGCCTCAAACATGCTAACCATGCACTCTTAGAACTGAGCCACATCCCCAGCCAAATGATTATTATTTTTTTAGATGATTATTTTTTATTACTGAAGATATGTTTAAACTTTGGAAAACATAGAAGAACAAAAAGGAAAGTAAAAGCACTCATAAATCTACTGCCTGAGGAATTTTATAGCCCCATAAATGTTTTGATGTGTTTACTGTTGATCTCTTAACAAGTTCCTGCTGGCTTGAACCACCAGTGATACATGCCTGACTGTCCCATTGGTGGCTTGTACCACTTGGTGGCAGTGTCCCGTGCCAGTAGATGTGACAGAAATGCACATATCCCCCGTAGTTCAGAGCTGCCTGGCAACAAGACATATGAGGTACAGTCCCATCATGAATGTGTTAAAGATTTGGGCAGATAGACTGCCCATCCCTTCCATGGCTGTGTGTGTGTATGAAAGCTGGGATTCCCCCTTCACTGTTTTGTAATGCTTTTGCTAAGTGTTATGGACACCTTCCATATAAATTATTTCTGTTGTATTTTGTTGAGGTTGTTTTTCATTTTTCAGTACTGTAGGCAGTGTAATGAACATCAGGCTGCTGTCCTTGACTTCCCAAAGCACCATAGCTGCAAGTGAAACTGCCAGTGTTGATTGTGTGCAAACAATAACCCTAAGTGATTATGAAAGTAATGATGATCGTAATGGCCCATGCTCATCAAGTACCTTTTATGGGCCTGGCTCTGTGCCAGACACTTCCCATACATTGATTCACCTAGTCCCTGTCCCCATGCAATACAACACCCAGTTGCCTCAGTCTCATAGGTGAGAAAGGGTGCATAGAGGGGGTTTGGTTGCTGAAGGGCACCCAGTTAATATGTCCAGGGCTGGGGTGGACCCTGGGCAGTCCACCCTGCAGCCCATCTTTTTTTTTTTTTTTGATACTGGGTATTGAACTCAGGACCTTGCGCTTGCGAGGTAGGTGAGGTGCCACTGAGCTGAATCCCCGGCCCAGCCCACCTTAACCGCCACACCTCCCACCTCTCCTGTGGGGGGATGGCAGTCTCAGCTGCTCACTGGCACTTGAGAGATGAGACAAGCAAAGGGAGGTGAGCAGGGCTCCCCAGGGACCTGTGAACAGACCGGGCTTCCCAGCCAGGGCCTCTCGTAGAACGGCAAGGAACTACCCTCTTTTTTTTTTTTTTGGTACTGGGGATTGAACTCAGGACCTTGCGCTTGTGAGGCAGGCGGTGGCACCACTGAGCTAAATCCCCTGCCCTAATCCTCTTATTTTTTGTTTGGTTTTTTTTAACCTTTTATTTTTTGAAGACACAGATACCCACAATTGACTTTTTGTTCTTTTTTTCTTTTTCCTTTAGGCTATTCTCAGATGATTTCATTTTTTTTTTTAATTGCAGAAGCAACAAGTGCTCACTTATAGAAGTAAAAAAGGTGCAGAAGGGCCTCTGGTGTCCCCCACACCGCTTGACAGAGGTCACTGCTACTTAGTATGTGCCTTTCTAGGCTTCTTGGGGGCGTGACACAAGTGTGTATCTGTGTGTGGTGTAAACCTAATAGACACCCTAACACTTTTTTGGTTTTTCTTTTTCTTTTTTTTTTTTTTTTTTTTCATGAAAACTGGAATCCCATGGAACTTACCATTTTCACAGTGTTTAGCATAGCCATCTAATGGCCCTCTGCTGTGGTTACTTTTGGGTGGTGTTCCTATCAGTAATTTGCTGTCACAGCCCTGTCCTTGGATGTTGAGGCCAGCTCCCCGTACTTGGGCTTTCCCCTGCAGTCTGTTGGGGACACTTTGAGTAGTAGTGATTTGTGAACCAGGGCTTCCATTGGCAACAGTCTTGAAAGTGGCCCTGCTGTGTACAGGGTGTGCTTAGAGAAGACTGGCATCTGCTTTTGTGTGACCCCTTGGCAGGTGGTTGCAGTCTGTGCCCTGCAGTCTGTGAAGAAGTTCAGGGGCATCTGACCCACCTGGCCCTTCCCTCTCCAGGTACCTGGAAGAGGTGGGCTACACGGACACCATCCTTGACATGCGGTCCAAGCGTGTGCGCTCCCTGCTTGGACGCTCCCTAGAGCTCAACGGGGCTACTGAGTCCAGCGAGGGGCCCCCCAGGGTGGCACCTAATCCTGGGGGCCTCAGTGGCAGCGAGTCCCTGCTGGTGAAGCAGATTGAGGAGCAGATCAAGAGGTGAGCCCTGGGCTGGTGGGTGCTTTTCTCCCCCGGCTTCTCCAGGCCCCATTCCCCAGGCTCAGCCCTGCATACCTCTCAGCTGTGTGAGCATTTACTGAAGGCAAACCCTGGGTGACTTCCCAGGACACAGCAGGGAACAGGACACATGTTGTCTCCACCCTTGGAAGTTCTCCTTCATTCTTTCTCTCATCAGCAATTGGTGTTCAGCAGAATACTGTCATTATTAGATGATGCTAGTATTGGAAAGAACATCAAATGTAAGAATGGCAAGAGCTGGGCGTGGTGGTACACTCCTGTAATCCCAGCGTTTGGGAGGCTGAGGCAGGAGGATTGCCGTGAGTCTGAGGCCAGCCTGGGCTACATAGCTAGACCCTGTCTCAGAAAAAAAAAACAACCCCCCAAATTGACGAGATGGCTGGATGCAATGGCCTGCATCTATAATCCTAGAGTCTTAGGCGGCTGAGGCAGGAGAATCACTTGAGCCCTGGAATCCAGGGCCAGTAGGACAACATAGCAAGACCCTATCTTCAAAAACGACAGGAGAAATAGTCCCACATTGGGTGGGGTAGGAAGGGAGGCCTTCTTTGTGGAGGAGACATTCGGACCGAGGGTAGCTGGGTGGAGAATGTTCCTGGCAGAGGTGATAGTGAGTGCTTGGGTTCTGAGGCAGGAAAGGCCCGGCACGTGCAGGAAGCGGGGGAGCATGGCTGCAAGGGGATCATGTGGCCTGTGGTCTGTAGTGAGACTGGCTGTCAGCAGAACAAGGAGGGCCACTCTGGCCATGATAAGGGGTTTGGATTCCAGCCACACATTGTGGTAATCCCAGGACTCTAGGAGGCTGAGGCAGGAGGATTGTAAATTTGAGCCAACCTGAGCAATTTAAGAGACTTAGACTTTCCTCAAGGTAAAAAATCAAAACAGGCTGGGGATGTAGCTCCATGCAGAGGCTCTGTATTCACCAAAAGAAAAAAAGATTCTGCCTTTGGGGTTGTGGGAAGCCAGTGATTTCTGGCAGAGGTGTGACATGATCTGCCTGTTAGTGTGCTTCAAGGAGGGGCTGGAGGCAGGGAGGCTGGGCAGGAGATTACTGCCGTGTCAGGTAGGGCTGATGGAGAAGTGTGAGAGGCCCTTGCTGAGTTGCCCATCCTGGTCTCAAACTTGAGATCATCCTGCCTCAGCCTTCCTAGGTGCTAGGATTATAGGCTTGTGCCACCACACCCGGCAAGTAGTTGTTTTGTGATGGTCAGCGCTGTTTAAAATATTTAGGTGGAGAAATGGGGTGACTGTGGGGCTTGGTCTGAGTGAGGGTAGCAGCTCCTGAGGTGGGGATCACAGGGGCCGTTGAGACTGAGCGTGGCCACATATCCCACATGGACAGGTCGCATAGCCTGTCAGGAGCTTGGGGGCCTGCGGCGCCTGAACCTAGCTCTGGTTCACCAGCACACAGGTGTTTTTGGAAAGCCACAGGACTGTGTACAGTCACTGAGGGAGTGAGTGTAGACGGCCAGGGAAGAGATCCGAGTGCGGAACCTGGAGGCTCCGTAGGGAGGGAGCGACAGAGGAGGGGGAGCTGGCACGGGGTGGGTGTCGGGAGAGGAGGCCCAGGCTGGTGTCTTTGCCTGCCTGGCAGGGAGTGGGGCTGCTCTGTGCCAGTGCCAGGAGGCCCACCGGTGGCAGGCAGGTGAGTCAGGTTTGGCAGGCACCCCTGAGAGCGCTTGTTGAGTTGGAGGCTGGAGGTAGATGTCGGAGTGGCAGTGTCAGCGAGGCTCCGTGGAGCGGCCCCACTGCCTGTGGCTGAGCATTTGCCACTGGCAGTTCTGCCTCTGGCTCACCTGCTGCTAAGCCAGCTAGTGCCATGGTCCGTCCACATTTCTTTTTTTTGGTGGCACTGGGGGTTGAGTCCAGGAGCTCTCTGCCACTGAACTACATCCCCAGTCCTTTACTTTTTTTGGGGGGGGACAGAGTCTTGCTATGTAGTTTAGCTACACACCCCGTGTAGCCTGTGCTGGCCTCGGACTTGCTGTGATCCTCCTGGCTTAACTTCCCAAGTGCTGGGATCATGGGCATGTATCACTGCACCCAGTCATTTTTTATTTTTTATTTTGAGACAGGGCCTTCCTAAGTTCCCCAGGTTGGGCTAGAACCTGTGATCCTCCTGCTTCAGCCTCCCTAAGTGCTGGGGTTACAAGCGTGCTTTTCTTTTAACTCCGCCCCTCAGGTGTGCTCAGGCCGGCGCTAGGACTTGGTCTGGGTGAGGGTCCCGATGGGGTGCAGCTGGGTTGAGCCATGTAGTCAGGATCAAGGCTCCGTGGGACGCAGGGGCTTAGCTGAGTCCAGGCTCTGCCACAAAGCCTGGGTGTCCTCCCATCTGGGGTTCATTGCCTGCTGGAACTAATGTCCCATCTGCACCCCTGTTGTGTGCAGGAATGCAGCAGGCAAAGATGGCAAAGAGCGTCTGGGTAGCTCGGTGCTGGAGCAGATCCCCTTCCTGCAGAACTGCGAGGATGAGGACAGCGATGAGGATGATGAGCTGGACAGTGTGCAGCACAAGAAGCAGCGCGTGAAGGTGAAGCCTCCCCTCACCCCACCCTGCCCCAGATCCAGGTGCAGTCACTTCTGGGTCCCCTCCTGCCGCCAGGCCTTCACCTCAGACTGCAGAGGTGCCAGTCCCTGCTGTTAGCCTTCGACCTTCACCTGTGCCTCCCTCTTGCCCTGGCACCCAGCACTCTCTGACCTCCCTGTCCTCAGCTCACACTGTCCTAAGGGCTGTTTCTTGGCCCTGTCCCACCCCATGCTCACTGTGCTGTTCCTTGGCTGGCCAGCCTGCCTGCCCGGGTGGAGTTGGAGGGTTTCATTCTGACTGTTGGTCTGTCTGTCCCTCCACCAGGCAGGGGCTTTGGTGCTTTTGTGTGCCCTGAAAAGAGTGTGCAACAAAGTAGTGTTTTATTTTTTTATTTTTTTGTGGTCCTGGAGATTAAACTCAGGGCCTTTGTACTGAGCTCCATCTCCAGCCCTTGTTTTTTATTTTGAGACAGGGTATTACAAGTTGCCCAAGCTGGGCTCCCCCTTGCAGTTCTCCTGCCTGAGCTTCCTAGAGTGCTGGGATTCCAGGCTGGACTGCTATGCCCAGCTTCTCATTAAACAGTTATAAATGGAATGAGTATAGCTGGGCCCAGGACTAGGGCAGGGCTAGGGGTTCTGTAGGGTATGAGTGTCCAATCTGCTGTTGGTGTTGGGACCCTGCCCTTGGAGTAGGTCCAGGTGATCTCGGTATAGCCTTGGTGTGGCTCCCAGTGCAGCCTCCTCATTTCCTACTGCACCTTGGCTGCCAGGGTCCTGTGCCTCTGCCGTCACGAGATGCTGTCCTTGGACACAGGAGGTTACTGTCTGGTGAGCGACAGTCAAGGTCTTCCCAAGCGAGCTCTGTGGGCAGCACATAGGTCCGGGCCCCGTGATGCATCTTGTGACTGTGGTGGCCTTGTAAACTCTCCCGTTCATGAGGATGTCATGGTGCAGCTGGGGCACGAGCCCAGGAAGGAGGCCTTGGAGGGGATCCTGGGGGCTTTCCCCACCTCTGCTTTCTAGTGGCCTCTGCTGGGACCCTTTTGTCCCTCATACTCAGCTCAGACACACCTTACTCCAGGAAGCCTTCCCTGACTCACCCTGTGCCACCCCTTTCCCAGTCCTGAGTGCCTTGGTGTTGGCTCTGTACCCCTCCTTTCTCCAGTGGCCCCTTTGTGGCTCAGCTTAGGGTCCTGCCCCATGAGGCCTTTGTGTGGAGCTGCAGCCTTAGAAGATTAGTGGAAATACGGTGTTTGAGTTGGGCCTCTGACCTTGCTCGCTCTCTGGCCCAGAATCCTGATCCCTCCTGCCCCCCTGGCACTTTTACTCTTTTTTTCATGTCCTATGTGTTTGTTCCTCTGAAAAACTGTCTGTTTTGTTTTTGTTTTGTTTTAAACAGGGTCTTACTATATAGTTCAGGCTGGCCTTGAACTCAATATGTAGCCCAGGCTGGCCTGGAACTCACAGTGATCCTCCTGTCTTAGCCTCTCGAGTGCTGGGTTTACAGCCATGTGCCACCATTCTCAGTGGCCACTGGCTTTTTGGTACTCCCTTAGGGTTTTTTTTTTGATACCAGGGATTGAACTTGGGTCCTTGCGCTTGCGCAGCAGGCAGTGAAACCTCTGAGCTAAATCCCTGGCCTTTTTTTTTTCCCCTTAGGCTTTTGCAGCTGTCATTGCACTTGTCCCTCATGCCCCACAGGCTGGCTTGTCTGCACACAGCAGGCTTTCCATAGCTTAGATGGCTTAACTCTGAACCCAGACTATGACCCAGGAGACCTGCTGTGACTCTAGATGGGCTGCTGGCATGGCAGTGTGACTTAGGGCACAGGCCTGCGCCAAGGCCCCCTGCCTGTGGCTTGAGGACTTGATGAAAATGAGTGGATGTGTAGCGAGTCCTTTGGTGCAAAATGGCAACCCTGCTGCAACCCACGAAGTGACCTGTGTCAGCCAGCCTTAGGATTGCATCTGGACAGGGCCTCTCATACACTCTTCAGGGTTGGTGTTGCCTGCAGGTCTGGCTCAGGGCCTGCCCAGCCGAGGGGTCAGTCTCGGCTCAGAGGAGTCTGCAGGCTGCTGAGGCTGCCCTGGGAAAAGGCCTGGCTGGGACTTGGTGACTTGGGGTGAGTGGGCCCTTTACCCTGCTCCGTCTCCTCACCATCTGTAAGATGCCAATCATTGTAGGACTCTCAGTAGCTGCTCACAGGCCTGAGGATCAGGGTGGAGCCAGTGTGTGAAGCTTGTCTTGCCAGTGTCAGTTGCTTGCCTAAGCATGGAGGCTGGCACAGTGTGGGCCACACTCACTGTTCTCATCTCTGCTGCTCTAGTGGTTCAGATACTGGCTCTGCCCTTTTGCCCTTTAACTGTGCATCTCTGCATGCCCCCTTGTATGTGCAGTCTTCTCCTCCAGGTTGTCTATTACCCGACTTACCTGAGTAGCATGTGCTGGGGGGCACAGTGGTGTCAGCAGAGTTCACAGCCCAAGGGGCCTCCAAAGCCAGGCTGAGAGGGTTAGAGGCCCCTTGGGGAGACTCCCAGCAGGGGGCGCACCTCAGTCTTAGCTGGCACAAGGCTGGTAGCTGAGGCAGAAAGGGTCTGAGAGGGGAAAAAGGTCAGGAACCCTGGCTTTTCTGTTCCTGGGGACAAAACTCAGTGGGCTTGGTGTCTGGACACAAGACCCTGACCTGTCTGGTCTGGTCCATATCTCAGCTCCCTTCCAAGGCCTTGGTGCCTGAGATGGAGGATGAGGATGAGGAGGACGACTCAGAGGATGCCATCAACGAGTTTGATTTCCTGGGCTCGGGAGAGGATGGGGAGGGGTCTCCAGGCCCTCGGCGGTGTACCAGTGAGGGGACCCCCCACGAGCTGGGTGAGTTGGCTGTCTGGCCTGCCTCCACTGGCCCCTCCCTGAGGATGGGGTGAGCCCAGGTCCTGGCCCTTGCATATGCAGCCCCTGCAGCTGCTTCCTGTCCAGGTCTCCCCACCGGACGGATATGCTTCCCGAGAGGAGAGGCCCAAGGAGCCTGGAGCTGGAAAGTCCCAGGCTACAGGCGGGGCGGTTCTTCCTGAAGCCAAGCCCCCAGTCCTCCACTGAGAGCAGCCGGTTCTAGTCAAGTTCAAGGAGGGAACAGGATGAGGCCCTGGTGGGGAGAAGAAGGTGGGGCAGGCTGCATCTTCCTCCCTGTCCTGTGGCCCCTGCCTGGAAGGCCACTGGGGTCATGTGAGTGGATGGCTGGGGACTGTGGCCAGGGCAAGGACGTGCCCACCACCTCACAGAGAGTCCCTGCCTGCCTCAGTTTCCTCTGTCTCCTACCTAGCAAGAGCTCAGCTGCTCAGTTGCAGTCAGGCCTGCTGCAGTGGGGGAGGTGGTAGCCCCACAAGACTGGGCTGGAACTGGTGGGTGACTCCTGCTCCATGTCTCATTCCTGCAGAGAGCCGTCGAGTCAAGCTCCAGGGAATTCTGGCCGACCTTCGGGACGTAGATGGGCTGCCCCACAAAGTGACAGGCCCACCTCCCGGCACACCCCAGCCCCGGCCCCACGAAGGTAACCCCCACACCCTAGTCCCTCGGGTCCGTGGCAGAGGAGGCTGCAGAGCTAAGCCCAGGGCCTCTGTGTTCTTGGGGGCGAGGCCCAGCCTCCAGTCTGCAGCCTCCCTGTCCCAAAAGTTCGTCTGTCTGTCTCTGTCTCCCTTTTTTTTGTCTGTCCTGTCCTGTCCTGTCCTGCCCTGTCTGTCTCTGTCTCTTCCTTTCTAGCTGTGATTCTCGGTCTCATCCTCCCCCCTCTTTTCTCGCTCCTTATCTCTCTCTCTGCCTCTCTCTGCTTCTCTCTCTCTCCCTGGACCTCTCTGCCCCTCCCCCCCCCTCCCCCCTACCAGGTTCCTTTGGCTTCTCCTCAGACGTTTTCATCATGGACACTATCGGGGGCGGGGAGGTGAGCCTGGGGGACTTGGCAGATCTCACCGTCACCAACGACAACGACCTCAGCTGTGATGTAAGTTCTTGGGGTGCCCTCCTTGGGCATCACACCTTGCTGGCCCTTGGCAGTCACTGACCATGTTGTGCCAGGCCCGGGCTCAGTCTTTTTCATGTGAGGACTGTGTGAGGCCCCTCCACAGCCCAGGAGGTGGCTCCTGCTGACCCCATTTTACAGAGGGTGCAAAGCAGATAGTGGAAGGACCTGGCTGTAGTCATGGGGGTATAGGGCCTGCAGGACTCGAGCTTGGGTCTTGCAGTATTGGTCTCCCCTGTTCAGCAGTCCTCCCAACCCTGGTGATTTGGGGGCTCAAGCCAGAGCTCCCCCAGGTCAGCCTGGCCTGGCGAGAACGGGGCAGTTGGGTGGAGTGAAGGAGCCCAGTGGCCAGGGCTGTGTGCCAAGCAGACAGGCTGTGGCCACAGGGACCCCAGGGAGGCATGTGCGTTTCCTGGGCAGAACAGGATCCCAGGTGGTGGTGACCCCTGTGAGGTTGGGGACACAGTGTGGAAGTGAGGCAAGCGCAGGGTCTGAGCCTGCAGTGCCGTGGGGTCCTCCATGTGCCCCGGATGTCACTCTCTCAGGGAGTGTGGAGGGGCAGGAGAGCCACCCTGCCACAGATCCTCTGGCTCCAGAGTCCTGTGGCATGAATGGTACCTTAGGTGGGGCCTGGGATGACCTGGCCCAAACCAGGGGAGTTCATCTGATGTGAACCCCATCTTGGACAGGCACTGGGCCCCATCTGACAATGTGGTCCTTGTGTTTCTAAAGCCTGTCCTTTCTGGGTCCCCACTGAGCCACTCACCTTCATCAGGGCTGGGTAGGCTGTCAGGGCCTGTTGGTTTACTCCCAGATCTGCCTTCTCATACCTGTCTCCATCTCCAAAGTCAGGTATCTGATCTCGGTGTCTTTCTCCCAGGGCTCCATGACCTCTTATCCTGTCTCTCTGCTGCTATTTTCCTCCCTCTAATCCAGGACTCCCAGGGGTGGCCAGAGCTAGCCCTGTCATTCTCCTCCTCTGAACCCTTTGTGGCTCCCCATTTCCCTAAGGATTTTTCTTAGGATGCATTGGAGATTTCTGAATGTGGCTTGCGCTGGTCTCGTCTGCTGCCTTCCTGGATGTGTGCAACCAGCTACACCTGTCTCAGAACCTGGCCCTGCCCTTGCTGCCTCCTGCCTCAGGGCCTCTGCACACACATTGCTTCCTTCTCCAGCCATCGTCCTCTTCTCTGGTTTAGATTAAGTTCTACTCACTTGTCACTGCCTCAGGAGAGCCATTGGCCCCTGCAGAGGAGCCAGGCTACCTGTTGTCTCCTCCCCGTGCATCCTCGGTCATAACACTTCGAAGCTCATGATCCTGTGCACTTAGGATCTGCCTGTCGGCCCCAAATTCCCTAACTGAGAGGCAAGGGTTCAGGCCCACCTTTATCTGCCCAGACCTGATACCCTACAGGAATGTGCCGAGTGGGCACTGGGACCCCACCGGCCACACAGGAAGGGGTGGATCAAGGCCGGAGCCACGGTCTGGGTAGGGGAGAGAGGGATCGTGAGGCCCAGTGTCAGTGTCTGCATGACTGCCAGGATGACAAGGGGACACTGAGGCAGCGCCCCTCCCCCTAGCTGTCTGACAGCAAAGATGCCTTCAAGAAGACATGGAACCCCAAGTTCACCCTCCGCTCACACTATGATGGCATCCGCTCCCTGGCTTTCCATCACAGCCAGTCGGCACTGCTCACCGCCTCCGAGGACGGCACACTCAAGCTCTGGAACCTGCAGAAGGCAGTCACGGCCAAGAAGTGAGGGAGTGAGGGCGGCAACTTGGCAGGGCAGGCCCAGGCCCCGGCCCGGGGGGTCTCGGTGACACCCTGCTCCTGTCTCCCACAGGAATGCTGCACTGGACGTGGAACCAATCCATGCCTTCCGAGGTCACAGGTAGGTGGCGTCTGGACCTCTGCCAGGAGCTCTGGGAGCCCCTGCTCTGTGTCTACACCCCTCTGCATACCTCCTCAATTCTGGGCCCTGTTGGGTTTGTATGTTGGAGAAAGGTGGGGAGTAGGGGACAGGTAGCTTGTCTGAGGGGCACAGCCAGACCCCAAGCACTGAATCCCTTCTGGCCATGCTTGAAAAATAGCAGTGAAGGCTGTGAAGGCAGGCATGGGCTTGTCGGCTGCCTTCTCTCACCCACCCTTGGATCACAGGGGGCCTGTGTTGGCGGTGGCTGTGGGCAGCAACAGTGAATACTGCTACAGTGGCGGTGCCGACGCCCGCATCCACAGCTGGAAAATTCCGGACCTCAACATGGACCCCTACGATGGTTACGGTGAGGACGACCCCTTAAGTGCCCTCCCATACCACAAGCACTGGGAGTGTGCAGCCTGGGGGTGGGGGTGGGGGTGGGGTTAGGCACGGCCTGGCTATGGGAAGGCAGAGGCTGGGCCACTCGAGGCCAGGGAGCAGCATATGCCAAGCTGTGTCTCGTGCCCCACCCTGATGCCTCTGCTCACACACACATGGTCCTGTGCTACCTATGCCTCATCACGGCAGAGCCCAGAGATCTCAGAAAGACCATACCATTTTCTGCAGAAGAGTCATCTTATGAAAGGTTGAGGGTGAGACCCAGCCAAGGGAGCTGCCATGCTCTGGGTGTCTGAGTTGGTGGCGGGGCAGTGGTGGGGCTGTAGAGACAGCAGGCAGGGCCCAGCCCACCCAAGGCTCAGGCAGAGAAGGCTGCATAGCTGAGGGGACTGATGGCAGTGTGGAGAGGCTGCGTGTGTTCCACGCCAGGCCATCAGGGCCATGGGGCCGCAGAGCCACCACTGAACAGTTGGCTGCTGGGCCCTGCAGAGATAGCGGTGAAAGGGAAGTCCCTGCCTCTTGGAGCTTGAGGTGACTTCAGACCCTCACTCTGCCCAGAAGATCTGGTGGTCAGTGTGAGCAGCCACGGGGTGCAGGTCCCCAGGGTGGATGGGCCAGCGACCTAGTTCAGCTCTGGGCTGTCGTGGGACTCAAAATCCTAATGTGGCCCATTTTCTCCCTGGGCCCGCCCAGACCCCAGCGTCCTGAGCCACATCCTAGAGGGCCATGGGGATGCCGTGTGGGGCTTGGCCTTCAGCCCCACCTCCCAGCGCCTGGCGTCCTGCTCTGCTGATGGCACCGTGCGCATCTGGGACCCCAGCAGCAGCCCGGCCTGCCTCTGTACCTTCCCTGCAGCCAGTGGTGAGCAGGGGGGCCCAGTACCTCACAAGCGAGGGACAATCCGGGGCTGGGGAGGAGGGGTGGGTGCTGAGGGGGCCCTAGCCCCAGGGTGGGGCCAGGCCATGGGACAGCCTTCTTCCCTCTGCCTTCAGAGCACGGAGTTCCCACTTCAGTGGCCTTCACCAGCACCGAGCCTGCCCACATCGTGGCCTCCTTCCGCTCTGGTGACACCATCCTGTATGACCTAGAGACTGGCAGTGCCCTCCTCACGCTGGAGTCCCGGGGAAGCAGCGGTGAGGGGGGATGGCAGGCCAGTGAGACTGGGGCCTGAATGCCTGCAAGGCTTTCCATTCCTCCCATGGCTTTAGGGACGGACAGGTCAGGATGACTCTCATGGTCCGGAGTAGGGAGAAAACAAAGTTCAGTGGAGGCTTGGGTGGCCCTGACACATAGGGACCAAGGGTAGGCTGGGGATCAAGTCATGGACACTTCGGCCAGTGGACAGGACATTTTTCCATCCACTGCCCTGCAGAAGCACCCAGGAAGAGGTGTGGGGGGAAAGGGTGTTGGCACCCCAGTCTTGGCTATGTCCTGGTCTCCCTGATGTCCCCTTTTCCTTCCAGGCCTAAGCCAAATCAACCAGGTGGTGAGTCACCCCAACCAGCCCCTTACCATCACTGCCCATGACGACAGGGGCATCTGCTTCCTGGACAATCGGACAGGTGAGAGCGCACCCAAGTTGGGGCTGGAGTAAGAGGATCCCCAGAGGCTCTCAGAGGGTCTTCTGGCCCCCACATTTCCTAGGCAAGGCCCAGAGTGGGAAGGGGACCTGCCACCACCCTCTCCTTTAGGTAAATCCGTGCACTCCATGGTTGCCCACCTGGATGCGGTCACCTGCCTAGCTGTGGACCCCAATGGCGTTTTCCTGATGTCAGGAAGTAAGTTGGTCTGTCTTGGTGGTCTCTTCCCCTCCAGGGTGAGAAGAAGGGGACAGGGAGGAGAGCTGGGCCTTGGGCATAGGAATGTGCTCCAGTAGATCCTGGGGCTGGAGCGGGAGCGATGGCAAGTCACGACAATGCTTATAGCACAGCCCTGTGCTCTGTGCTCAGAGCCTGCTGCAGGCACGTGCCTCAGGCTCTTTCCTCTTCTGGGGAGCGCTGCGTAGTGAGTGGCTTATCCCCACTGGACAGATAGGACGTGAGTCTCTGAAGTGTCAGGGCTTGGCCATAGCACCATAGGTTGCAAGGCTGGATGCCCAGGGGGCCTTGAGCTCTGGATAAGGGCAGGTGGCCAGGCTGTGCTGGAAGGGGCGGCTGGACTTGGCTGAAGGGCAAGGCTTGCACCCCTCCTCTCTGCCTCCTGGCATCAGACCTCCATGAGACCTGTGGCAGTGGCAGTGTTATGTGAGTGTGTGTCGTGTGTGGGGGGGGTGAGAGCGTGGTGGCAGAGGCTGTGGGTGGCTTGGTGGCCGAATAGCTCAGCCCTAGGCCTCATTCTCTACCTGCTGAGTAAACGCAGCATCTGTCTCTGCAGAGGGCATGAGGGGACCATCAGAGAAACCAAGCCTGGTGCCAGGAAGCCAGCAAGGGCTCCATCTGGGAGCTGTGATCCCTGGGGGTGGGGGGTGGAGAGCCCTCATCCTGCATGCCAGGCTCTGCCTCAGCCAGCCTGGCCCTGGAACTGAGCTAGGCAGTCAAGGCTTCAGGCACTGGCCAGGCTACCTCACACCTCTGTCCCCCACCCCTATCCCATGTCTCTCTCTATCTCTTCTCCATCTCCCCCCACCCCCTTTGTTGAGACATGGTTTCACTGTGAAGTCCAGGTTGGCCTTGAACTTACTATGTAGCCCAGGCTGGCCTCACAACTCGCAGCAATCCACCTGCCTCAGCCTCCCAAGTGGTGGGATTACAGGCGTGCACCACCACACTCAGCCCTCTGCCTTGAGCTGCTAAGCAAGCCCTGTGCCCCTGAGCCACAGCCTGGCCCAGCCTGCTCTTTTCTTGTTCCCTGTGTCATGCTGCAGCATCCACAGTGTTGTATTTGCTTGTTTTGTTCAGTGCACCTTCCAAGGCCTCATACATAGAGGGTGAATAGATGGAAAGATGGTTGACAGGGTAGGGACAGAGGAGCTGTCCTTTGGGCAGAGTGAGGGAAGGAAGAGGGCCAAGTCTTCACTGTCCCCGAGGCCTCTGGGTGGGGCTAAGTGAGGGGTTCACAAGTAGGTATGCTTGGTGACAGATTTCTCCCCCACCCCAGGCCACGACTGCTCCCTGCGCCTGTGGAGCCTGGACAACAAGACGTGCGTGCAGGAGATCACAGCCCACCGCAAGAAGCATGAGGAGGCCATCCATGCTGTTGCCTGCCACCCCAGCAAGGCCCTCATCGCCAGTGCTGGCGCCGATGCCCTGGCCAAGGTCTTCGTATGATGCCCACCTGGCCCCGCCCTGGCCAACACACTGGCTGAGGAGCAGGGCCGGGCAGGTGGGGCTGAGGTGAGGGCCCGCACTACCCCTTTCCCTCCCTGGCACTCGGGTGTGCCAAGTCAGCCCTGTGAGAATGGCCAGGACTGCCCTAGGCCCGAAGAGGGGAGGCCGAACCTGAGCAGTGGTCCAGCCTCTTCTCTATCTCCCACAGGTGATTGCAGCCTCACTCGGAGGCTCGGGTTGGCCTCTCCCCACTTGCTGTGGAGCCTGGTGGTGCTAACTAAGGGCCCTGTCCCAGGAATGCTTTCCCTTGGCTCTTGTCCCCACACACTGGCCTGGGGACATGCCCTTCGGGAATCGCTGCCCGGGCCCTCAGACACCCATTCCTGCACCAGCTGCCCTCTCACATGCAGCTCAGCCAGGGCCGGGTCTTTGGGGATCAGTTTTTCCAAGATGCCAGAAGGTGCCAGGTTCTCCCCTTGACTCCCACCCGCTGGCCTGTGGGAGCTGTGCTGGGAGGAGTCTCCTGACGCCCCTCCTCCATGGGGACCCCTGTGGCAGTGGGAGCCTGCCTGGCCCACCCCCCAGCTCCTCCCGTTTTCCAGACACTAACCTCCAGGGCCGGGACTTTGCCCCCAGACTCCCAGGGTGCCCCTCCCTGAGGCGTGGGGGTGAAGTGGGGACCCCGTGTAGCTCCCTGTATATCTGTAAAAATGGACAGGATTTTAATGGCGCCCCTCCCCAAGTTATCACTGTGTGATAGTCTTCGTCAGTCTTTTCCTGGCTCCACATTTTGCCTCTATTTATTTCACTCTTCGTTTGGGTTCCACCCTGAGCCCAAGCCCTTGACCCCCCTTCAGGTTCCTGTTTATAAGCCACCCCCTGCCCCTGAATTGTACGTGAAAACTTGTCTCAATAAACCCTTTGGAGTAAGATGGTGCCCGTGCCATCTGTTGAGGGGATGGGGACCTTTTGGGAGGAGTTGCCGCCTCAGTTGGGTGGAGCTTGAGGAGAAAGGGACATGATAGAGCCGGGGTGTTGTAGTGAAGGGAGGGCAAAAAGGGGCCCAGAGTTTGGGTGGGTGTGGGTGAAGGGGCGGAAGCTGGGCACAAGGCCGAATCTCCTGTGCCCCTCCTTTCTGTCCCCAAGTGCACTGTCCCCAGGGGCAGGCCTGGCAAGCCAGTGGTGCGATGGGACAGTTCAGCTGAGGACCTGCCTGGGCGTGTGGTGTCTGGTGCTAAGAACCAAGCCCTTGCCTTCCCCATGGACCCTATACCCAGGCCCTTGGAGAGGGAGGGAAAGCAGCCTCCCAGCCATGCCGGGAGGGTCCCTGGAGGACACATGGGTGCCTTGGCCCCTGTGGGAGCGCAGAGTCCCTCCCTTTCCTTTTTGGTAGTGTTTACTATGTGCTTATGAGAAGCCACGCTGAGCTCAGCTGGTACTGTCATTTCAGTGCTTACAACCTCAGCAAAAGCAGAGCATGAGGGAGCAGGAGGGGTTGCTCGGGATCAGCAGGTTAGCAGAGTTGGTGTCCTGTCCCGGTCCTCTGCTTGCCGAGGCCTCCACCTTCCTCCAGCCCCTCCATGATAAGATAGTGATGCCCATGCCCTCTCCTGGGCCCTGGCACCCCCTAGAACACTTGAAGGATGGAGGCCTGTGGTGTGGGCTGTGCTTGGGACATGTTGGCACTCCCTGTGGTGCTCATCAGCCCATCTGAACATAGGTGACATGGCCAGGTGGTCTGTGGGCCCCACGTGGCCTTGCTCCCCTCATACGCCGGCTCTGCAGCTTTCCCAGGTGGTGGTTTGGGTTTTCGCTCCGGCCTCAGACTTCCTTCCCCACCCCAGCCCCCGGATGTGGTGACAGAATTGACACTGTACCAACCTCAGCGGCCCCCCAGCAGCCCTGCAGTGTGTGTGTGGGTCTTCGTGTAGCACCCACCCCAACCACAACAGGCAGGTGGCCGTGCTTTGCCACGATGCCTTCGGACGCATCGGGAAGGCCTTGGCCTGTCAGGGAAGGGCTGATCCTGGGCAAGTCATTGCTTCCCGAGGCCTGGGCTCCCCGTGTGTAAATTAAATGGGAGCTGGTAGCTGGGGAGAACTCAAGTCGGCTCCTCTGGAGGGCTGGACATGTGTCCAGACAACGCCCGGCATGCAGGTCCTCAACAGATGCTTGCTGTTACGACAGACTGATGAACAAACCCACCCAGACCTCTTTGCAAGTTACAGCGACAGCCACCATTTACTGGACTGGAGCGGTGTTCCAGATGCACCAGTCCCACAGACCCCTGGGGTCAGTCCTACTCGGTGCCATCTAACAATGGGGAGACTGAGGCTTGCAGGAAGGAAGTTGTCCCGCCAAAGCCACACAGACGCAGGCACACCGCCACAGGAGAGTCAGTTCTCCATCTGTGAAGGGACATTGGTGTGTGGCCTCCTTTCCAGGGCCCCAGCCCTTTGGCACTCCGAGACCCTGGGGGCCAGTGGAAGGAAACCACATCCCCCCCACCCCTGCCCTGCAGCCGGCTCCAGGCACCTTGCCCCGGTGCTGGAGGCAGACCTGAGGCGAAGTGGCGCCCCCTTCCCATCTGCAGAATGGGTGGGCGCGCACACGGCAGCACCCCCTCCCGGAGGCTGGCATGACGACCTGGGATGGGGGAGGCCGAGCCCGGAAAGCAGGCTGGACCAGACACCCTGTTTCCGACCCTCCCTTGCGGCGGGCGCCAGATGCAGGCCAGCCGAGAAGGCTCCGTTCCCTGGAGGACCAAGCGCCTGCAAACCCTATCCTAGCACCCTGGGGTGGGCGAGGTTAGCTCGGCCCTCGCTGTCGGTTCAGGGGAAAAAGTTAACTTCCCAGACCTGGTCATGCTGGGGAGGAATACACTCGTCAGCCTGTCTGCCACCCTGGGGCCCCCATCCGATTGGGGGAGGTTTCACCCCCAACTCTGAGGCGCCGAGCCCGCCCTCTCCTTCCGCCCCTGGCCCCTCGGCAGGCACCGCCCCTCCACGACGTCACCGAGGGACGCGCCGATTGGCCGACTGCGCAGTCGCTCCGGACACTTCCTCCTGGGCCGCTGCCGCGGACTTAAACTTTGAAGGGGGAAAAAGGAGCCACCCACGCTGTGCTACCGCCCTTGCCCCCCACCCCACGCCGCCTCCGGTAACACCCCCTGCCTCACGGCCTCCGACCGAACTTTTCTCCAACTTCCGCGACCTGTGAGATTCCCCCCTTTCTACTCGGCCCTGGGGACCTCTCTGCCCATCGCTGAGCCGGGAGGATTCCTGGGATCCACTTAATACCCAACTCTGAGACTCCAGTTCTCCGCCCCCAAAGTGGCGAATCCTTTGGGCCCACTGCTTCGTGAAATCTTGGTTCTCCCTCCTCTGCTCTCAACCTCTTCTCTCTCCAAGGGGCCTTTGGATCGCGGGGTCTTCTGATCCCTGCAACCCTGACTACTAGATTTTCCTCCCTGATTTCTTGGAACCTCGCAATCGCTGGGTTTCCAAACCACTACTTTTTCCTTTCTAATCTATGATCCCTTGATTCCGAGCGTGGGATCCACTAGAGTCCTTTTCTGTCATTTCCCAGGATCCTGCCATCCTCGGTCCCTCAACCTGCCAGTTTTCTCTCTTCGGACCCCTGCACTTCTTCTACCAGCCCGCGGGCTCCTTCCGCTCTAGGACTCGGGTTCACAAGGCTCCCGCAGCCGGGTTTCGGCTGGGCGCTGGGTCCAGGCCTGTCCCCATGGCCGCCCCCCCCTCCCATCTCGCCGGGCTCCCTGGCTCTCCCAGGCCTGGGTCCCCTCTCCCCGCCGGCGGCTTGGAGCTACAGTCGCCACCACTGCCGCTGCCGGCCCCCGGGGTCTCCTTCCACATCCAGATCGGCCTGACCCGTGAGTTCGTGCTGTTGCCCGCTGCCTCTGAGTTGGCCCATGTGAAGCAGCTGGCTTGTTCCATCGTGGACCAGAAGGTGAGGGCGTCAGGCTCCCCGTGCAACTTGGAGACGGGTCCTAGGAGGAGGGTCTGACAGAGGCGGGCCGGGGCCTGACCTGCGGGAGGAGAGAGAGGGGATCTGGGCGCCTTGGAGGCATTGGCCCCCAATTTCTCCTCACCCCACCACTCATTTGAGCGAGGCCCCAGCAGGGGTGGGGTGCTGCAGAGGCCTCCCCAAATTACATGTCCTTGCATGTTGCTGGTTTCTGCAGCCCGGCAGGGAGGAAGGGAGGTGCCTGCCAGCTGTCAAGTGGGGAGGGAGGGGCAGATAGGGGCAGCAGACTTGGGGGACCTCCCCTCTGGGCCCATCCTGGGCCTCCCATTTGATGGAAACAATAGAAATTGAAGCCGGATGGGCCAGGGTGATCGGGTGACGCGTGGGTGTGGGCTTGTGGACCAGCTGCCAGGGGCAAGTGAGGTCTCATGCCCCAGTCCCTGCCCTCTACCCCCTAATGCACCCCCCAGAGGCCCTGGGGACTCCATCCCCTCTCCTCTCCTCATCATCGCAGTGTCCCTGTCAGGGTTGCCAGGGTGGAGGTCTCTGGGATCATGGCAGGCGGCAACTGAATGCTTGAACTCTAGAATGTTAAAAATTAGAATTGTGAACTTCTGTGTTATTTGAATACCAGACTGGAAATGTTAGAATTACTGAATCCTAAGTAGTTGAAATATGCATCCCAGCTAATGGAATTCCTCTGACCTTAAAGTGTTCAAATGCTAGAACTCTAACTTGTTGAAATACTAAAACATTAAAATGTTGGAAGTTTAGATTCCTAGGTAGGAATCCTAGAGTGTTAAAATGTTAGAATTTTGGGACGCTGGGTTGAACTTCTTTAATACAAAGATACTCAAATATTAGAATTCTAATTTGTCAGGCTCCTAGAACATAAAAATATTAGATTACTGCTTATCTAGGTCTTTAAAATCCTAAAAGGTATAATGATAATATGTTGGAATCTAGAGTGATTCTATGTGAGCATGTTGCAATCTCAGAATATCCAAATCCCAGAATTTTCTCAGACCCCTGGAAATGAATCCTGTGGGCTTCAGAGAGAAGTTGGGAACTGGTTCAACTCTCTCATTTAACGGAGGAGGAAACAAGTTTAGAGCAAGGCCTCTCAGGTGGCCAGAGCTAAGGCTTTCCTGATTTTCTGCGGAGTGAGAACAGAGCTTTGCTCACCAACCCCCCATATCTGTCAGGCGGCTTCCACCCCCACTCAGCCTCTCCGTGGAAACCAGGCTGGGCGAGGGCAGATCGTCCCCTGGGTGAAATTGTTTGTCCAACGGCTGAAATACCCAGCCATCCCGCCTCAGTCCTCAGCCCATTTTTATTTTTCTGCCCTCCTGGTCCAGGTGCTTTAGAGCCTCTGCCTGTCTGTCTTCCCAGTGCCCCCACCTGGGCAGTTTCACTTTCTGTTCTACCAGGTTTCATTTCCTGCCCCCCCCCCCCCGTCCGGACACCTGGCTCCTTTTAGCGTGGAGTGAGGGGCAACCTGCCTACCTCCAGAACTCTGAGACCCAGCCCACTCGTCCTCCGGGAGTCCTAAATCCCCTCCTTCCAGCTTGCTCTGCACCAGTACTGGGCCTCGAGCCAGGTAGCTACAATACATCCAGGAAGGAAGCTGGGGTGGGGGTAGTGGCCGAGTAGGGAGCGGTGCTCACTCGCGCCCGCCCCGAGCCCCCCCCCCGGCAAATTCGAGGTATCCAGCTCTCGGAGCCACCAACCCCCCACCCCCCCACCTGGCTCGCCCGTGCTGCCCCTTGCAGCCACCAGACTCGGGCCAGCGCTTCCTCCCGGCACACCTGGGGCCCCGACATCCGGGCCTGCTAGAGTTGGGTTGGGAGGGGCAGGCAGGAAGCAGGGGGCTACGGGGGAAACAGCCACCCCTGCCCTTGGAGGGTTCCAGCCCTCTACTGCAGGCAGCTCTGAGCTTTTCCGACGCCATCTCCCTCTCCCGCCCTTCAGTTCCCGGAATGTGGCTTCTATGGTCTTTACGACAAAATCCTGCTCTTCAAACATGACCCCACGTCGGCCAACCTCCTGCAGCTGGTGCGCTCGGCTGGGGACATCCAGGAGGGCGATCTGGTGGAGGTGGTACTGTCGGGTGAGAGGCAGTGGCCAGCCTAGGGGCGGGGACTGGGGCGGGGCCTCTGATGGGGCGGGGCCCCTGGAGGAGGTGGGATGCGCTTCTGCTGAACAAAGTAGAATCGCCCAGGGAGCTTCCACAGACTGCTTGTGCCTGCTGGATAGCTGCATATGGCCGTTCCCACTGTGGCACTGTGAATGCCAGTGCTGGGCACGAATGGTCCACAGCAACCTGGATGCGTCTCCTGGACATAATGCTGACAAAGAGGTCTAGACACCAGCCTCCGCACTGTAAGGTGGCGTATAGAAGCATCAAGACAGATGTAATTATTCTGTGGTGTTAGGAGAGTGGGTCTTTTGGTCAAAATGGAGACTGGGTGCATGGCTGAGGGGATTGCTTTTTCAGTACTGGGGATTGAACCCAAGGCCTTTGTGCTGAGCTACATCCCCAGCCCTGTTTAACTTTTTATTTTGAGACAGGACCTTACTAAGTCACTAAGTTGGCCCGGCTGGGCTGGAACTCATGATTCTTCTGCCTCAGGCTCCTAGAGTGTGCTAGGGTACAGGCCTATGGCACCATGCCCTGCTCTGAGGGGCCTTTAGAAACTAATTTATACCAGTCTGGATGCTCATAACATGGTTTGTACAGTGTGAAAATTTATTGGGGCGTGCACTTCTGATATGTGCCATTTTCTGGACATGTTATACTTTTTAGTTATACTTGAATGTAAAGTTACAAATGTAGCAGGCTGTGGTAGCCAAGTTTGTAATCCCAGCACTTTGGGGGGCTGAGGCAGGAGGATCACAAACTTGAGTCCAGCCTCAGCAACTTAGTGAGACCCTGTGTCAAAATAGAAGATAAAAATGGCTGGGGACAGCTCAGGGTGAAAGCCCTGGGATCAATCTCTAGTATTAAAAAAAAAGTTACAGGGCCGGGGATTTAGCTCAGTGGTTCCACCGCCTGCCTCGCAAGCACAAGGTCCCAAGTTCGATCCCCAGTACACACCCCCACCCCCACCCCCACCCCCACCCCCGCCAAAAGTTACAAATGTTTTGATGCTTGTGCCTCCTCCCACAGAAATGCTTAGTGAAGTCCGAGACTCCATCCTCCATAGTTTTGTGTGTGTGTTTTTGTTTTGTTTTGGTTTTTGGTGCCGGGGATCAAACTGCAGGTGTGGTGCCACTGAGCTGCATCCCCTGCCTTGTCCTCCATAGTTTTAAAAGCTCCCCAGCTAACTCCAGAATCCGTAGTTTAGCCAGAATGTAAGGCACTCACCACAGCCACTTCATAGACGGGCAAGCTTTCAGTGGGAGAGGAGCCCTTCCTAAGGGTGGGGTGTCTGCCTCCTTGTGGCTGTGTCCCCCCACCCTGTGCACACTGCAGCGCACAGCATTCCAGTGGGTGAATGACATTTAGAGGTTTCCATGTACACCTACGGTGACTTACTCGGGCATCACAAACCTTCCTCTAAGCTGGAAGCTCTTGAATATCCTCATCTTGGTCTCCCTTCAACCTAAATCTTGTTTGTGTAGTTGTAAAGTACTTTGTATCTAATAGGAACCGCAGATCTGGCCGTAACAGGACAGCGCTCTCATGGTGCTGGGGGTGGAACCCCAGGGCTTGCACATGCTAGGCAAGTACTCCACCACGGAGCCACACTGCAGCCCAAGGCACAGCCCTTGGTACCCTCTGCTGTCTTCATCTCCGTGGATGAAGCACACTACCATTCACCCGGGTGGACAGGCTTCAGACCTCAGGCAGCCTTCATTGCTCTCCTCCTCTCACCTGCTCACTCGATCCCTCAGCAAACCTACTGGTCCTCTGGTTAACACATCCTGAATCTACCACCTTCCACCAACACAGGTCCAAGCCACCACCACATCCAGCTTAGACTACAAATAGGTCAGATCCCAGCACTCCCTTGTTCAAAATGCTTCCATAGGGCAGGGGATTTAGCTCAGTGGCACCGCACCTGCCTCGCAAGCGCAAGGTCCTGAATTTGATCCCCAGAACCCCCCAAAAATAAAAAAATTAAAAAATGCTTCCATAGCTTCCTAGTACCCTTGGAATAAAATATAAACTCCTTAGCATGGCCTCAGGGCCATGTGTGACAAGGGCTCTGGCAGGTCCCTGAAGTCATCTCTTTAACACCATCTTTACTCTCAGTTCCAGCAATCTGGCTGCCTTCTGTCCCTTTCACCCACGAGCTCCCTCCCTCCTTAGCCCTTTGCACTCAGTCTGCTCACCATTTTGATCCCAGCTCAAATGTCATTTCCTCCTCCCAGCCTTCTGATCACCCCATCGAGGCTTATTGCCTTCTGTGTTATCACACTGATTGATTGTTTTAAAAGCACTCTAGGCATTTTCTGAAATTCCTGACATGTTTGTGTTTCTTGTCCATCTTCCCAAGACTGTCTTGTCCCTGGCTTTCTTTCACCTGAGTGTGTCAACAGTGCTTAGCATAAGCCGAGCATGTAAACAGTCCTCGGTACATAGAACAGAGTCTCTTCTCTGTTGCATAATGGCAAGAGGAATAGCTTAATATTGGACAGAAACGGGGAGGAGGGAGTTTGGATTCACATGAGACACCATAGTCCAAGAATGCAACTTAAAATAAATAAGAGCTTGGGGCTGGGGGTGTAGCTCAGAGGTAGGGAGCTTCTTTAGCCTGTTCCAGGCCCTGATTCAGTCCCTAGCACCTCGGAAACAGCAACAAAACAAATAAAAGGAGAGCAAATATTTACTGGGCACTTTCCATGTAAGGGCACTGTTTTAAGGGCTTTCCACATTTAATGCATTTAACCCTTAAATAACCTATGAGGACATACTAGGTTGCTTTGGTTGTTTTGTTTGATTTTAAGACAGGGTCTGACTGTGTAGTTTAGGCTTGCCTTGAGCTGACTTCGAACTCACAGCAATTACCCTACTTCAGCCTCCCCAAGTGCTGAGATTATAGGCCTGCGCCACCTAAGAGGAAATAGTGTTATAATGCTGAGCATGCTCCTTCCTAGCTACCTGCACAGCTTGGACCCTTTCCTCCCTTGGGTCTTTGCCGTAATGTCACCTGCTCAAGGGGGAAGCCTTTCCTAGCCATTTCTTTTTTCTTTTTTTCTCTCAGTACTGCGGGTTGAACCCAGAGTTTTGTTCATGCCAGGCAAGTGCTATACCACAGAGCTATAGCCCCAGCCCTTTTTATTCTGAGACAATGTCTTGCTAAATTGTTCAGGCTGGCCTTGAACTTGTGACCTTCCCGCCTCAGCCTCATCAGTAGCTGGGATTACAGGCACATAGCACAGCACCTGGCTACTGTATATTTTGTCACTTGTAATTTCAGAGAGACAGTATGGTACTGATGGCATGAATTCTAGGGCCTGGGTCCAAATTCAAGTTGCCTGACTAGCTGTGTGATTTAAGGGGCAGCTGCTTAACCTGCCTGTCTGTGCTATAATTTTCTCCTGCAATAAATGGGGGTAATCACAAGATGTAGCCCACAGGGCTTTTAGGAGAGCTGAAAAAGCATTTCATAGTACTTAGAGCAGTACCTGGCACAGTAACTGCTAGGCTGAGTGACTGTTTTGTTTTTGTTTTGTTTTGTTTTTGAGACAGGGTCTTGCTATGCAGTTCAGGCTGTCCTTGAACTCACTGTGTAGCTCAGGCTAGCCTTGAACTTGTGGTGATCCTCCTGCCTCAACCTCCTGAGTGCTGGGATTACAGGCATGTGCCACCACGCCTGGCTGGCTGAGTGAATGTTAAATAAGAATAATTTGTTTTGCTTGTCATTCCATTTCCCAAGGCAGGGACTTTTGTCTCTTTTGGCCTGTGGGATGTCCCAGTGCTGAAGACAATGAACTGAGGCACCCAGAGGTTGTGGGTTGGTGTTCAGGACCTGCCTTATACCAGTTAGATCAGAGACTCCGAGGTGGAACCTAGGCATCTTTTTGTTTGATTGGGATTTGTTCCTTTTTTTCCTTTGCGATTCTGGTATGGAACCCAGGGCCTCACACATGCTAGGCACACACTGCACCAATGAGCTACAGCCCCAGTTTGATTGGGACTTTAAAGTTGTAGTTGTGGTAAAGCATGAGTAACATAAAACTTGACATAACAAGCCTTTTCAGGGTACTGTCGGTTGTGTTACATCCCAGTGCCACCGACCTCTGGAACTGTTGCCGTCAGTAACACCCCTGGATCCCCTCTGCCCCAACCTCTTGGAAGGCGTGTTGCTGTTTTGCCCAGTGGTGGAGCTGGAATTTGAGCTTAGGCACAACATAGTGTGGGAAGGAAGGGGGGTGGGGAGGATGGAAGGATGGACAGAGCACAGCTTGAACATGGGAGGCCTATGAGAAACCTGGGAACGCGGGTGTGCAACAGCGTCTCCCTCTGTTGCCTGCAGCCTCTGCAACTTTCGAGGACTTCCAGATCCGGCCGCACGCCCTCACGGTGCACTCCTACCGCGCACCTGCCTTCTGCGACCACTGCGGGGAGATGCTCTTTGGCCTGGTGCGCCAGGGCCTCAAGTGCGATGGTGAGGGGGAGGGGTGAGAAGGTGGAGTTGGGCAATGGGGCGGGCTCGGGTCTGGGGGCGGAGCCTAGAAGGTGGGGCTTGGAGGCCGAGGTAAGGGCCCAGGGGCAGAGCTTCGAGAAGGGGCGGGGCTTCTTGAAGGGGCGGGGGGTCAGTTCGGGTGCAACCTACAATGTGGGGGTCAGAGGGAGAAAGGGGCCCGAGGAGAGAGCTTGTAGGAGAAGTAATGGGGCTCTGGGAAAAGGGCAGGCTGTGTCAGTCAGGTGTCAAGTACAGAGACAGAATCGGTAGCAGAGAAGTATGAAGATATTTATCTGAAAAAATTGGTTTAGTGGTGTGAGGTGAGCCAGGCAACTCCCTAATCCGGAACGCACAGGGCGGTAGGTCAGCCAGGAAGGCAGGCAGTAGTTCCCAGACACAAGCCTCTGTTCACAGGGAGAATTCCTCTTGGAAGCCTCTCAGTTGATTGAATTGGGGCCAGCAATTAACTGGTCAGTCCCCCTCGCCACGGCCCACTGATTGCAGAAGCTGACACGTAAAGCTGGCATCAACCTGGCGCCCGACTTCTTGCTAGGACTGCCATCACCGAACAACAGGCAGGGGGTGGGGGCTAAGTGACAGGGAGTCGGGAGAGTGAGGGCAGAGAAAGAAGCAGGAGCAGGGCCCCAAGTGGAGCGCTGGTGTCTAGGGAGAGGGGTGGGGCTGGCGTGGAGCTGTGGAGGTGACCTCGGAGGTGTCCCTGGTTAGAGAGGGAAGGGAAAGTCTAATGCAGTGTCCACAGGTGAGGGTGGGGTACAAACCGGAATGAGGGACAGGACCTGGGATTGGTGACTTCCTTTTGGAGAGAATTAGGCTGTGGATGATAAGGCAGGGCCTGGTAGGGAGCTGGATGGGGAACGCTTCAGAAGGAGTGGAGGCCTAAGAAAGCCTGGGGCTGTCTCTGACCGTCTGGCACCCCCCGCAGGCTGCGGGCTGAACTACCACAAACGCTGCGCCTTCAGCATCCCCAACAACTGCAGTGGGGCCCGCAAGCGGCGCCTGTCCTCCACGTCTCTGGCCAGTGGCCACTCAGTGCGCCTCGGCAGCTCTGAGTCCCTGCCCTGCACGGCTGAGGAGCTGGTGAGGGCCTGGACAGGGGGCAGGTTGGTGGCCAGGGGCTGACGGGGCCCAGGCTGGGAGCGACGCACTCAAGTGTCCCTTCTGCCCTCACTGACCCGCAGAGCCGCAGCACCACAGAGCTCCTGCCTCGGCGCCCACCCTCATCGTCGTCATCCTCCTCCTCTTCTGCCTCATTCTACACTGGCCGCCCCATTGAGCTGGACAAGATGCTGCTCTCCAAGGTCAAGGTGCCACACACCTTCCTCATCCACAGCTACACACGGCCCACTGTTTGCCAGGCTTGCAAGAAACTCCTCAAGGGCCTCTTCCGCCAGGGCCTGCAGTGCAAAGGTTTGCGGGCCAGCTGGGGGGAGCTCGGGTCCGAACCTCCCCCTCGGCCCCATCTGGGCTTGTGGAGGAACTAGAGAAGCTGGGGGTTCTGATCTTTAGGAGCACAGGGCCTCAGAAGGCGAGTGCCCTGAATCCCGGTGTTCCAGAACCTTGGAAATCTAGAGCCATGAGACACCTGCATGGGAATTCCTAAAGTATAGAGAGGAGAGAGTTCTAGAATCAGAGAACATTATAAACTGAGGATTCTAGAACTTTGGAACCATAGAATTCAGCTTAAATAACCACAGAACTGTAGATCATGAATCTTAGAACTGTTATAGATTTTTAGAATATTAGAAATTTGTTTCATTTTATTTTTTAAGGAGATAGAATATTAGAATTTTAGAAGCAAAGAATTTGAGAATAATGGAAGCCTAGAAGCTTTACATTTGAGAGCCTTACAAGTCAGAATCCTGTGACCTTGGGTCTTGGAATGCTAGACTCCTGGAAATCTGGGCCCCCAGAACGTGGAACAAATTCTAGAATCTTTGAAGGCTAAAGCTGAAGTACCACAAGGTTATAAAAATTTGGCATGTTAGTTGCATAGAATCGTAGAATTTCAGAATCATCAGATTCTAGAGGCATAGAAGTTTAGAATCACAGAACTGTAGAACTGCCACATTTTAGAATTTAAATATCAAATCCTGAAAACTTGGACATTAAGATGTGTTAGAAATCTAGAATCATAGACTGGTAGAGTTCTAGACGATTGGACATCAAACTTAGGCCTTGGAAATCAAGAATCGTAGATCCTTCAAATATAAGTTTTCAGAGCCAGGCATGGTGGTGTGCACCTGTAATTCCAGCACTCAGAAGGCTGAGGCAGGAAGATCACTATGAGCTTGAGGCTAGCCTCTGTAACATAGTGAATTCAAGACCAGCCTGAACTACTTACATAGTGAGACCTTGTCTCAAAAACCAAAACAAACAAAACTGGTTTTCAGCCAGGTATGGTGGTACACAGCTGTAATCATAGCACTTGGAGAGGCTGAGGCAGGAGGATTGCAAGTTCAAGTTCAGCTTAGACCCTGTCTCAAAAATTTTTTTTTTTTTTTTTTTTGGTACTAGGGATTAAACTCGGGTCTTTGTGGTAGCACAGCAGGTAGTGAAACCACTGAACTAAATCCCTGGCTCAAAATAAAAAATTTTTAAAAAGGGCTAGGGACATAGCTCAGTGGTAGAGTGTACTTGGGTTTGATCCTGAGTAACCCCTCCCTGAAGATTTTCAGCTTACTCCAGAATCTTTGCTGTATAATGTTCTTGTGCCTAGAATCATGAAATTCTAGATCACTGGTTTCCAACCAAGGGCAGTTTTGGCAGTGGTTGGAAACACTGTCAGAGCAAGATGGTGCTGCTGCCATCTAGGATGCGGCTGAACATCCTGTACTGCACAGAACAACCTCCACAACAAGGAATTACCCAAGCCAAATGTTACTCGTAACAATGAAAACAACAAACCCAGGCTCCTCTAATTAAAGTAACCTCTCTTCTCCCTCCCATCCCTCGTTCCCTGTCCTCCTTCCAGACTGCAAGTTTAATTGCCACAAACGCTGCGCCACCCGCGTCCCTAACGACTGTCTTGGGGAGGCGCTCATCAATGGAGGTAAGAGGCACAGAGGGCCTGGGAGGGAAGGGGCAGGGGCAGGACCTGGTGGAGCTGCTTCTGATGCCCCTGTCCCCTAGATGTGCCGATGGAGGAGGCCACCGATTTCAGTGATTCCGACAAGACTGCCCTCCTCATGGATGAGTCAGATGACTCCGGTGTCATCCCAGGCTCCCACTCAGAAAATGCCCTGCATGCCACCGAGGAGGAGGAGGGCGAGGGAGGCAAGGCTCAGAGGTACCCATGAGATCCCCAAGAGCCCCTGGGAAAGGCCCTTCCCCATATCAAGCCTCAACTTCCTCACCGCTACAGTGGCCTGAGTTCACCTTATAATTGTATATTGTCCTCGTTGCTGAGGCCAACCTTTACCAGCACCACAGCCAGGCATGGTGGTGCATGGCTGCAGTCCCAGCACTGGGAAGGCTGAGGCAGGAGGATTGCCGCAAGCCCAAAGCTAGCTTGGGCTACAAAGTGAGCTCAAGGACAGCCTGGACTACATATCAAGACCCTATCTCAAAAAACCTAAATAAATATTTTTAAAGTAAAAATAAAGGGGCCAGGGATTTAGCTCATTGGTTCCGGTGCCTGCCTCACAAGCGCAAGGTCCTGAGTTCAATCCCTGGTACCAATAAAGAAAGAAAGAAAAGAAAGAAAGAAAGAAAGAAAGAAAGCAAGCAAGCACCAAACCATTTTTTCTTTTCTTTTCGTTTCTTTTTTTGAGAAAGGGTTTCACTATCTAGCTTAGGCAGCCCTCAAATTTATGTAGCCCGGGCTGGGCTCCACCTTGAGATCTTCTGCCCCAGCCTCCTGAGTGTTGGAGTCACAGGCACACACCACTATGCTATGGCCTTTTATTAAATTGTAAACCTTTTGGGGGCTGGGCATTTAGCTCCCTGGCAACACGCCTGGCTTGCAAGTGCAAGGTTCTGAGTTCGATCTCCGGCACCCCCCCAAAAATATTTTACTTTTTTGGTTTTGTACTGGGGACTGACCTATGCCTTCACACTAATGTACATCTCCAGCCCTTTGTATTTTTTATTTTGAGACAGAGCCTCTCTAAATTGCTGAATTGCCCAGGCTAGGCTCAAACTTGTAATTCTCCCACCTCAGCCTCTCAGAGTACTGGGATTACAGGTGTGTACCTCCACACCTGGCTGGGAATCCAGCTCTTATCAGAAGACACCCTCTCAAGAGTCCCCTGCCTGACTAGGAAATCTGGAAGGTGACGACCTCCCCTCCCCTTAGCCACTGGGGATTTTTCCTGTACTGGGGATTGAACCCAGAGATGCCCCTTGTGGTTCCAGGCCGTACCGTCTTTTTCTGCCCAACTTCTCAGCGCTTCTACCCCCTCCAGCTCCCTGGGCTACATTCCCTTGATGAGGGTGGTGCAGTCAGTGCGACACACAACACGGAAATCCAGCACCACGCTTCGCGAAGGTTGGGTGGTTCATTACAGCAACAAGGATACCCTGGTGAGTGAGCAGGCTGGAGCCCGGGGGCAGGGCCTAGAGCAAGGGGCGGGGCAGATAGTCTAAGTGGGGGGGGGGGAATAGACGGGGCTATAGGCAGGGCTAGATTTAGAGGTGTAGTTTTTTGGTACCGGGGATTGAACTCGGGACCTTGTGCTTGTGAGGCAGGTGCAGGAACCACTGAGCTAAATCCCAAGCCTAACTAGAGGTGTAGATTTTAAGTATGGGATGAGGGCCCCAGCAGGAGTGAGCAAAGAGGAGGGGCTGAGGGCAAATACTAGGAGGGGTGAAAGCATGGGGTGGTGATGCACGTCTATAATCCCAGGACTCTGGAGGCTGAGGCAAGAGGATCACTGTTAGTTTGAGGCCACCCTGGCTCCATAGTGAGTTCAAGGCCAGCCTGAACTACATAAGGAGACATTGTCTCAAAAAACAAAACAAAACAAACAAAGGGGAGTGGTGAGAGCCCGAGTTATGTTTGGGACTAAAACCTATATTAATTAACTAGAACTGACTGTGCAGGGCATAAAATGGGGCCAGGTGGGGTGACTGTGCGGGCCATAAAATGGGGCCAGGTGGGGTGAAGTGAGACTCAGAGGCTAGAGGAGGGCTTGCAATGGTGGGACTGGGTCTAGCCTGGCAGGAGCCAGGTATGGGGCAGGAACAGGGGCGAAAAAGCTCCAGGCTGAAGGCTGCCCTCAAATTAGAAGGGGGCTATACTGCATGGAGCTAGGTGAGTGGAGTCAGAGCTGGGAGGGGCGGGATTGTTTGAGAAGGGGCGGGGCTGGGAGGGAGGGACAGAATCTGAAGGGGGCAGTGCCCGGCCAAATGGGGTGGGGCCAGCGTTAGGGCGGAGCTTGGCAGGGGAGAGCCTGCACCCAACTCTGCCCCAGGACACATGTGTCACCCTCACTGTCCCAAACATGTCTCCCTCAGAGGAAGCGGCACTACTGGCGCCTGGACTGCAAGTGCCTCACGCTGTTCCAGAACAATACGACGAATAGATACTACAAGGTGGGTCTTCCGTTCCCAGCTCCGTCCCCACTCCTGGCTCCAACGGCTGGGAACACACCCTCTCCTGCCATCAGCAAGAGGCGCTCATTTGATTTCAGCTGTCACTTTCCAGCTAGGCTGCCCAGAAAAGTGACTTCACCTCTCTGTGCCTTATCTCTCAGCTGGTAAATAAATGCCTCAAATCATAGTCTTCATCTCCGCTGGGTGTGGGGCATTTGCCTTTCATCCCAGGACTGTGGGAGACTGAGGGAGAGAGGATCCCAAGGATGAGCCCAGCATGTCTCACAGTTTAGCCACTTGGTGAAACCCTGTTACAAAATGATAAATAAAAATGAAGGGCTGAGGATGTAACTCAGGACAAAGGCTCTGGGTTCAAGCCCCAGTACGGAAAAAACAAACAAAAACTCCAGGGCTGGTGTGAGATCAGAGATGGCGACATAAACCAATTAGCTTAAGGCTCAGTTTGTGTGCTGCTCTGGGTGTAATTGGCCTAGTCTTGCTTTAGAACTAATTCACTGCATATTTATTCACCGTGGCTTCCAGGCGGGCACTGCACTCCAGCCAGTCTGTGCCTGGGGTTGCAGCAGTCTCTCCGGTGGGTCTTTGCAGCCACAGTCTTTTTCCCATGTTTCTTTGTGATGCCAGAGCCTTGGACCTGCTAGGCAAGTAAGTGGTCTGCCACTGAGCCACACCTCGGCCCTTTTTATTTTTATTTTTTATTTTTTGGGGTACCGGGATCAAACTCAGGATGCACTTTCGAGGCAGGTGCAGTGCCACTGAGCTATATCCCTGGCCCTTTTTCTTTGTTTTTGAGACAGGGTCTCACTAAATTGCCCAGGCGAGGCTCTAACTTTCTAATCCTCCTGCCTCAGCCCCTGAGGCTTGGGATTACAGATGTGTACCACCATGCCCAGTTGGGCTGAAGCAGAGAGGATCCTTGTGAGTTTGAGGCCAGCCTAAGTTACATAGTGAGACCTTATCTCAAAAACAAAAGCAAAAACAAAAACAAACTATCATAGCCCCCAGTGGCTCCCACTGCTCTTAAGGCCTGGCTCCCTGCCTGGAATGTCTTCCTTGGAGTTGCCAAGGCTGGTTCTTTCTCGTCCTTCCCATCTTGCTCAGGCTGTGCCCCTTCCCCATCTCCATATCCCAGCCTGGCTCATTGCCTGTCTAAGTAGTCTTTCTTTTTCCCTTTTTATTTTGAGACAAGGCCTTGCTAAATTGACAAGTTACCTAGGTTCCGTTTGAACTTGCAATTCTCCTGCTTCAGCCTCTCAGAGCACTGAGATTCCAAGCAAGCACCACCATGCCTCACTTCCTCTTTTCTTTCTTTGTCTTTTAATGTTCTCCTTCCCCAGCTCCTGATGAGGTCCCTGCACTTCTCTGCCACCACCTCCTTCCTGGTCTCCTGTCTCCATCTCTTCCTATCCCACCTACTTTCCATGGACAGCCCCAGGAAGGATATCTTTCCCCTGCTCAAAACTCTTCAGTAGTTCCCTGGAGCCCTCAGACAAAGCCCAGGCTTCTCCTTGGGGCCCAGAGGGTCCTGTGTGGCTGTACTTCCTTTATTTATCAGGCATTTGTGAGCACCTACTGTTTGTCAGGTACCATCCCATGCGATGAGGATATGGCACAGCCTTTGACTACAGGGCCTTTGCACATGCTGCTCCCTCTACTGCTTGCCTGCTGACCTCTTCTTACCCCCAGCTCTCTGCTTCAGCACCTGACCACTTCCTACAAACCATGCCTGTCATTGACCTTGGCTCTTGTGCAACCCATGAGACAGCAGGGGAGCCTCAGGGCCTGCCCGGAGTCCTGACCTCACCCATGCTGCTTCCATTCCTGCCAGGAAATTCCACTGTCAGAAATCCTCTTGGTGGAGCCCGCTCAGAACTTCACCCTTGTGCCACCAGGCACCAACCCACACTGCTTTGAGATCATCACCGCCAATGCCACCTACTTCGTGGGCGAGACACCTGGAGGGGCCCCGGGCGGGCCGAACGGGCAGGGTGCCGAGGCCGCCCGGGGTTGGGAGATGGCCATCCGCCAGGCCCTGATGCCCGTCATCCTCCAGGACGCCCCCACCGCCCCAGGCCACGAGCCACACAGTATGTCCCCACCCTGAGTCCCTATGGGGGTGTCCTGAAGCAGGGAAGAGCCAAGGATGAGAGGCAATGGTGGGTGGGGTTGGGAATGAGGCTTCTGGACTAAGCAGGGGAGGGTTCAAGTCTCTGGCAAGCCTCGGACCTGCTGTGTAGTCCTGGGCACACCTCTTCCCTCAGAGCTGCCTCCAGGTGTTTATTGAGCGCTTTCTTTGTGTCCAGAACATGTCTCATAATTCAGTCCCCATCCCCAGACAGCAGTAACCCAGACTGGGCAGGACTAGGGCAGGGGGGCAGGGAGTCAGGCGTGTCTGACCCAACTTGGGTGTCTGGGAGGGCTTCCTGGAGGAGGCTGTGTGTGCACTGGGAACTGGAGGGGAAAACATGTCAGGTAGAGGCAACAGATGGTCACAGAGTATCAGGTTCTGACCTCTGCAGCTGGTCAACCAATGTGGGTGACAACATTAACCATTGTCCCATAAAATAGCAAGTGTGTGCTGAGTGTGGTAGTGCACAGCTATAAACTGCTGACCATGGGAGGCTGAGGCAGGAGGATTGAAAGTGTGAGCCCAGCCTAGGCAATTCAGCAATTTTTTGTTTGTTTGTTTGTTTGTTTGTTTGTTTGAGACAGAGTCTCACGGTATAGTTCAGGCTGGCCTTGAGCTCATGGCGATCCTCCTACCTCAGCTTCTTGAGTGCTGGGACTATAGGTGTGCGATACCACACTGGCGCAATTTATCAATTTAGACTGTCTCAAAATAAATATTTTAAAAAGGACTGGGAAGGGGCTGGGGATATACCTCAGCAGCACCGCACCTACCTGGCAAGTGCAAGGTCCTAAGTTTGATTCCTGGTACCAGAAAAACAAAAGACTAGGGATGTAGCTCAGTGTGAAGGCTCTGGGTTCTGAGTGTTTGTTGGAGTCATCGCACGTGGCCCCAGGAGCAGCATTTGAGCCAAGACTGAAGGATAAGGATTTAGCATTCCTGGCCCAGGGTCAGAACGTGCAAAGGCCAAGGCTGGGACAGGTTGCTATATGTGAGGCCAAGCAGGGAGGCAGCGCGGTGGGAAACAACTTCATGGAGGCTGAAGTCAGAGGCAGATGAGGGGCTGGACCATGTTTTCAGGCCGCTTCAGGGGCCCAGGCTTCCTCTTGAGGGCACTGTGGAGCCATGGTAGGGTTGTGAGAAGGGGAGGAGCAGGGTAAGGTTTGTGCTTCAGGAAGACCCCTCTGGTGTCCCCCAGAAGGGTGAATAGGAAGGGGCAGGACTGGGCACAGAGACCAGAGAAAAGGCTGGGGAGCGGGGAGTGGGACTGGGCAGTGGAGAGGTGGAGAAGAGGAAGGATCAGGACTTTGGAAATACCAAGCTCTGGTTCGGTTTGTAGGGGCAAAGTTCGGGGAAGGTTGCTGGGATCTGTTTGGACTTTCCCTCCAAGCCTCGTTTCTTTTCTCTGTAAAATAGGATCTGCATGTCTCTCTTGGTAGAGATCATGAGTAAAATGCTCAGCATAGGGTTTGTCAAGCCACTTTTTTTGAGGGGGGGATATTAGGGATTGAACCCAGGGACTTCCCAATGAGCTACATCCTCTGGCCTTTTTAAAATTTGTATTTTTGCCAGGCATGGTGGCACACGCCTGTAATCCCAGCACTTGGGAAGCTGAGGCAGGAGGATCAGTGCAAGTTTGAGGCCAGCCTGAACTAGGTAGTGAGACCTTGTCTCAAAACAACCAAAAAAAGAAAGAAAGAAATGAAAGAAAGAAAATCCTTCCATAAAATTTGTATTTTTGGCTATCATAGCTTTCCATGATAGCCCACACTGTTTCCCAGACGCAGAGTGTACTTTTTATCTTTGCTGTTAACCTTTTTTTATTTACTTGGCCCAAGCTTACTCTGCAGAGCCAGTTTCTCTCCCGGTCTTCACTTTTACTTTCTTGAATAAACTTTGCCACTGCTAAAAAAAAAGGCAAACCCAAAAGACTATTTTTATTTTGAGACAGGGTCCCTCTAAGTTGCCCGGGGGCTCCAACTTGCCATCCTCCTGCCTCAGCCTCTGAGTGCTGGGATCACAGGTGCCACCATGCTTCTGTGATGTTGCTTCTTGAGCACATCTCATCACTCCTCCCAGTGGTGCTTTTTAGATGAGGAAACTGAGGTCAGAGTGGACGAGCTGCTTGCTGTGTCACCTGTTCGGAACCGGTGGTCTGGCTCCAAGGCATCCTGGGCAGGGCTGAGTCCTGAGCTTCTGTCTCCCTCTCCCCAGGACAAGCTTCCCTGAGCATCTCTGTGTCCAACAGTCAGATCCAGGAGAACGTGGTGAGACTCCTGTCCACTTCCCCACACGTCCCTGGTCTCCCCCCCTGGCTCCCCATCACCATTTGCTCCCATGACTCTCCTGTCCCCAACCTGCAGGACATTGCTACTGTCTACCAGATCTTCCCGGATGAGGTGCTGGGCTCAGGGCAGTTTGGAGTAGTCTATGGAGGTAAGGAGGCTGCTGGTCCAACCCAAAGCCTGGGCTGAGCCTTTCCAGTGCTACTTTCCTTTCCAATTGGCTGCTTGCTCATCTCCTATTCTGATTGGCTTGGAAAGCTATGACCTGGCCACATGTGGTTGCAGGCTCCCCTTTTCCCATTGGGAAAGCCAGTGCACTTCCTCCTGGTGTTAGTAAGGAGTGGACATTCTGTACTCTTGATTGGCCAAAGAGCCAGAACCTACCGGCTTCTGATTGGTTATGAATCTAGCTTTCCATGTTATCTATTGGCGTCTCCAGAGCTCTGCTTTTTTTTTTTTGAGACAGGGTCTTATTATGTAGCCCAGGATGGCCTCAAACTCGTGGCAATCCTCTTGCCTCAGTCTCTGGAGTACTGGGATTACAGGTGTGCACCACCAAGCCTGGGCTTGTTTTTTTGTCTTTGAGATAGGGTTTCACTATGTATTCCAGGCTGGCCTTGAACTCACTGCATTGCCTAGGATGACTTCAAACTTGTAGCAATCCTTCTGCCTCAGCCTCCCATTACAAGGATCTGCCTCACGCCTAGCCAGAGGCCTGTCTTTGACTTTCCTTCCACTTTTACTCCCAGCCCCTCCACCCCACCCTCACATGTTAGGTACCCCTCAGAGCCACGTCATCACCTTGGCCTGACTCCAGTGGAGCCCTTCTTGCCAGAACTGGGAGACCTTTCTCCTCAGCCCTTACCTCTCCCACTTCCACCATCCAGGAAAGCACCGGAAGACTGGCAGGGATGTGGCAGTAAAGGTCATTGATAAACTGCGTTTCCCCACCAAGCAAGAGAGTCAGCTCCGCAACGAGGTCGCCATTCTCCAGGTGACAACAGAGAAGTGGGACCTTTCCTTCCTCTCTCCCTCCTTTTAGGCACAGCAACTTAGTCTTCAGTGCTCAGGGCAGGCTTCCTGGAGGAGGGAATGTGCTGTCTAGGGTGGGAAGGGCTCTGAGTTGAAGGCTGGCCAGTGCCAAGCCCTGGACCTGGGGTCCAGGAAGGTGGAACAGGAGAGGCCACAGGGAGCATGGGTCTGGATCCCATGGGCTTTATCCAAAAGTTCTGGGGGTCTTAGAAGGATTCCAAGGACTGAGCACGGAGCTTAGTCACATGGCACTTACCTAGTAGGTGTGAGGCCCTGGATGCCATCCCCAGACCCACCGACATTTTTTAAATGGAAAAAGAAAAATAAGGGGCTGAGCAGAGAAGGGCCAGGATCAGGTGTGTTCTTTAGGAAAAACCCCTGGGGCTGCCATCTGGAGGGTGGGCGGAAAGGGCTGGAACCCAGGCTGGAACCCAGGTGGGGAGGCTGGGAGGAATCTGGGCAGGAGAACTGGGGTTAGGCCAGGACAGGCCTGGGGGAAGGGGAGGAAGCACAGAGTGAAGAGCTGTAGACAGAAATAAGAAGGAAAAACAAGGATGCCAATGTACAAAGCTTCTGTTTCTCCAAGCTCCCTGCTCCCTCGCCCTGTGAGACCCTGGCTTCCTGGTGCCAAGTCCATGATGCGAAGCTTCCTGGGGACACCAGGATGTGGGGCGGGCCATGATGCCATGGGTAGTCTGCTCTGTCCCCAGTGCCACCCCCAGGACATCCTTCTCGCCTGTCATCCACCTGCTTCCAAGGCCGACTTCAGGGTGGAGTTCATGGGCGACCTAGATCCTGACCTCTCCCCTCCCTCCAGAGTCTCCGGCATCCCGGGATCGTGAATCTGGAGTGCATGTTCGAGACTCCCGAGAAGGTGTTTGTGGTGATGGAGAAGCTGCACGGGGACATGTTGGAGATGATCCTCTCCAGCGAGAAGGGCCGGCTGCCCGAGCGCCTCACCAAGTTCCTCATCACCCAGGTGCACCCCGCCGGGGGTCCCCCTGCAGAGGCCCTGAGTAACTGAACCGTCAGGCAGATGTTGGGTAGGACTCGAGGCAACAGGCCACACCTGCAGTCCCAGCATGGAGGGAGGCTGAGGCAGGAGGATCACAGGTTAGAGCCCAGCCTAGGCAACTCAGAAACTTAGTGAGACTTTGTCTTAAAATAAAAAATATAAAAGGGTCTGGGGATTTAGCTTAGTGGTTCTTCCAGCTACCTCGAAAGTGCAAGGACCCGAGTTCTATCCCTGGTACCAAAAAAATAAATAAAAATAAAAATAAAAATTTTAAAAATTATATAAAAGGGCTGGCGGCCAGGGATCTAGCTCAGTGATAATTGCCACCTGCTGCACAAGGGCAAGGACCTGAGTTCGATCCCTGGTACCAAAAAAAAAAAAAAAAATGCTGGGGATGTAGCTCAGTGCAAAGCCTTGGTTCAATCCCCAGGACCAACCAAAAAAAAACAAAACAAAACCACAGACATACACAAAAACCAAAAAACCCCAACATATCACCAAATTCCCCCACTGCTGAAGACATAAATATATAGATTCACTTTTTTTGTTGTTTTGGTACTGGGGATTCAACCTAGAGCTCTGCACATGTTATGTATATGCTCTGCCATTGAGCATCCCCAGCTTTTTTCATTTTTTTTTGGTACTGGGGATGGAACTCAGGGCCTTGCACTTGCAAGGCAGTGCCAGTGAGCTAAATCCCTCAGCTTTTAAAAAATTTTATTTTATTTATTTATTTTTTTTGGTACCGGAGATTGAACTTGGATCCTTGTGCTTTTGAGGCAGGTGGTGGAACCACTGAGCTAAATCCCTGGCCCTAAAAAATTTTATTTTGTGCTGGGGAAGTAGCTCAGTGGTGCCTCGCCTGCCTGGCAAGTACAAGGTCCTTAGTTCAATTCCCAGAACTGGAGAAAAAATAATTTATTTTGAGACAGGGTCTCACTAAATTTCCAGGGTGGTTTTGTAATCTTTTTGTCTCGGCCTACTGAGTAGCTGGTGTTACAGGCATACATCACATGCCCAGTGTCATAAAGAGTTTTAACTTTTTTTTTAAGAGTTTTAACTTTTACGTTAAATGTTCCTTTGTGTAACCGGTTTCTGGGCTTTACATCCTCCCTAGAAAGCCATTCCTAGGGCCGGGGATTTAGCTCAGTGGTTCCGTCACCTGCCTCGAAAGTGCAAGGACCCAAGTTCGATCCCCGGTACCAAAAGAAAAAGAAAAAAGAAAACCCTTCCTGTTGGGTCGGGTCCCACCTTATTCTAAGATTCCTTCTCTTAGTTGCAAGGAGGCCATTGCTGAGTTCTGTTGCCCAGCACCCTTTCTGTCCCTTGCTGTGCACAGACTGGCTCAGGGTGGGGACAGGAGCCCACTGAGGCAGGCACATCAGGCTTCAAGTGGGAGAGGGTATGATCGCTTTCAGCAACCAAGATAGCTTCTCTTTCTGGTTTTTCATTTCTTCAACTTTTTTTTGCTTCCTCTCTTTTTCTCTTTTCTGCAGATTTCTGCCCTCTGGGTCTTTGCCCGCTCATCCCTGTGCTAAGCTCTTTTCTTCCCAACCTTACTTAGGCCTCACCACCCTTTGAGGTAGGTGTCATTGTCACCCGCTTCATAGATGAGCACCAATCTCTCACCTCAGGTCACAGTTGGGAAGTTGCCTGGCCAAGATTTGAACCTGGTTCTGTCTCACTTTCAATCTACCCTTTGTTCACTGCCTTAACTGGGGAAAAAAATCAGACAGCTGCCAGAAAATCTGGAGAGGACAAATACACACGCCTCTTTCCACCCCAGCCTCACATGAAAAAATAGGTGTGGAGACTGAGGACCACAGCAGTGCCTTTCAAGTTGTATTTCATTCTTTGAAAGCCGAGTAGTGAAAACTGAATAAATGAAAATTTAAATTCTGAGATGTAGCTTACAACTGCATGCTTACATGACTGGGCTTCTGGGGTATTTGGTATTTTGTGTGGGTTACACAGAATCAAGGAAAATTAACAAGATTTGTGTGTGTGTGTGTGTGTGTGTGTGTGTGTGTGTGTGGTACTGAGAATCGAACCCAGGTCCTTCACACTAAGCTACATCCCACCCTCCTCCCCACTTTTTTTGAGTTCTTACTAAGTCAATAAGTTGCCCAGGCTTGGTTTGAATTTGGAAACCTCTTGTCTCAGCCTTCCGGAATACTGGGATCACAGGCGTGCAACATCCCCCCCCCC